TGGCTGAGCGCAGTGCGGGTGCAACACCGAGGGTTGCAATCCCGTTGCCGGTCCCCGGTACGAGCGCGACACCGAGGGTTGTGATCCTGTTACCAGTCAGTAAAAAAGACAAAAAGGAAATAATTAATTAATTGATTAATTAATTTAAAAAATAAAATAAAAAAACAAACAATGACAAAATAGGAATCTAGATATAGGAGGAATCATAGTCCCCCAAAAAAAGTTCAAAGGAGAAAAAATGCAGTATGTATCTTGCTAATGTAGCAAGGGGAGCAGACCATTCTGGTCCCCCTGCTATCTTTGAAAGAAAAAAGATCCTCATTGTTTTTCCCTACTTGGCTACCTTAAAAACAATATACTGTTGACCCCTGACCCACACCCTGCACAGACAAAAATCTGCATATAACACTCAGCCCTACAGAACCTGCATATATGAAAAGGATGCTCTCTGTATTTGGAGGGATCAGCCCTCCGTACACACAAGTTCTGCTGGCTGTATTTAATGAAAATAATCTGCATGTAAGGGACCCCACAGTTCAAACCTGTGTTGATCAAGGGTTTGCTGAATACGTATGAATAAAATATGTTGACAAATTAATCCTGCGTGTGTTGAGAGGGGGAGTAGACACAGATTGAGCAAGAATGGCTATAAGTCGATGGCCATTGAAGCTGGGTGAGGGTTACATGGGAGATCACTGTACTACTTTAATTCTGGATATGATTTAAATTTTCAATAAGTTAAAATAATAAAAGACTTTGGTTTCTAATTTGTAATTTAATTTGAGGCCAGCTCCAGAATCCCACAGAACTATGTGTCTCCTAAAGCTGTAGGGATGATGATAAACCGAGCAAGTGATCTATGAACTGTATAAAGGTGACGAGAGGCGTGACAATCTGCCTGTGGCAGACCTACTGCATGTCACTGGTAATCAGATTTCCCTTAGATAGGTTGAGAAGGGAATGGCAGAGGGTGTAGTGGGAAGGAGTGCGGAAGGGAGGCAAGGAAGTAGTAGGTCATGACTAGAAATCCAGGGTTGAGATCTCCAAAGGTAGCACTGTTCCTCTGGTGCCTGAGACAGAATGGGGCTGGTGGGAAACTATGGTACATGGAGGAGGGCAAGTAGCAGCATAGTGTCAGATCATGACAACAGATGGACAAAATGCTGGTAGTGGGTACACACAGGGATAAGGATAAGTCCAAATCCATATCTATAGCAAAAGAACTTGGGTGCAGCATGACTGTCTACTTGCTGAGCATCAGAATGGAAATGCCATTCTGTTTCTCTAAAACCTACATTTGGATCTTTCCAGGGCCCTAAAGATAACAAATATTTTAACACTAAGCAACCACAAGGCAAGGAAAACATTTAAAAAAAACTTCCCCTCTTTAAGTTGCTTTTGTACAAGTGAAAGAAGTTGTTCAAGTACATATTTAATAATAGCCACTAAGAACTGTCCCCTCAAAGCCCTTACCTTGGTCTGTTTCTTCTCAGTGGCATAGACGATGGAGGTACAACAGACTTCAGCAATCTTGCGGCCCTGACCATAAAAGGACCAGCAGCAGATTTCATCCCCAATGACATCCTTTATGAATAGGACCCTTCCATTAAAGCGCAGGGAGAGCTTATCAAACAGTTCAATGTTTTTCAACATATTGTCATCAGAATTGCTGTAAAAGAGCATTTGATAAGGTGACCACAAGCTGGTAGGAACTGCCACCACTGGTTGAGCACTTCCACGTGCAGGGCCCTACTGGATCCATTATTTCCACTATCTCGTTTCAATCTCACACTACTCCCATGGGAAAGGCACTACAATTCCCATTGCTCAAAGAAGGAAAGTGAGGGTTGGAGAAATTAGGTAACTGACTGAACCCAAAAACTAATACATGGCAGAGCCGGAACTCAAAAGACAGCTCTGGCCCCTAAGCCTATGTTCCTAACCAGTGTGCTCAAGTGCCTGTTCTGCAACTGCCAGAGAGAGAATGCCGAACACGTGGGGCCTCTGGGTACAGGTACCAGGTGGCAAAGAGAACCCCACTGAGACACACAAGGAGCAGAATGGCACTTCCCAAGGGAAATTTTTTTTTTTTCCTTTTTGTCTTTTTTTCTTGACCGGCAATGGGATCGCAACCCTCGGTGTTGCGCCCGCACCTCACTCAGCCAGTGAGCAGCCGGTCTGTATGTGGGATCCAAACCCTCGGCAGGAGCGCCGCCACGCTCTCAAGCAGCGCACTGTAGCAGTGCGCCACCAGGCCGGCCCCCCAAGGGAAATTTTTTATCCTAGGTCTTTTTAAGGGTCTTGAGTAACCTTATTAAATCCCCTCCCCCTCATATACCTCAAGTTCCAGATTTAGAGCCACATGTTCCCAAGAGCCAAAAGGCATTCTAGAAACCTGCATATATTACTGCTGGGAATGTAAAATGGTGCAGCCACTTTAAAAAGCAGTTAGGCAGGTCCTCAGATGACTAAAGCTAGTTACCACATGACCCAGCAATTCCACTCCTACCCAAGAAAAATGAAAACATGTCCATACAAAAACTTGTAGGTGAATGTTCATAGCAGCATTATACACAATAGCCAAAAAGTAGAAACAACCCAAAGGTCCAACAAAAGATGAATGGATAAACTGTGGCATATCCATATAATGGAATATTATTCTGCCATAAAAAGTACTGACTCACACTACAACATGGATAAACCTTGAAAACATTATGCTAAGTGAAGGAAGCCAGTAACAAAGGCAATGTATTATATAAATCCAATCATATGAAATGTCCAAAATAGGCAACTACGTAGAGACAGAAATTAGTTTAGTCACTGCCTAGGGTTGGAGGAAGAATGATTGGTGAGAAACATGGAGTGACTGGTAATGGGTAGAGCATTACTTTTGGGGGTGATGAAAATGTTCTAAAATTAGACAGTGTTAATGGTTGTACAACTTTGTGAATATTCTACTAAAAACCACCTACCTGTATACTTTAAAAAGGTGAATTTTATGGCATGTGTGAATTATATGTCAAAGTTATATCTATCCATCCATCCATCTATCTATCTGGCATTCCAGAGGGGTCATCCTCATCTGAAGGGAACAAGAGGAGTCGGGCCTAGCTGGTATGTGTGGAGGTTTTCCTAGCAAGTGCAGACGTCTTTTCAGGCTGAGTCTTACCTGGTATATGAGTATTTGTTGTTACTTCTATTGTAGAGCAACTTCACAGCTGGCTGTGGTTTGTTGTAAAAAAGGAAGAAAAGAGTTACTTGGCATGCAGGTGCAATGAATGAATCACTGGCTTCCCACAGGGCTGGGGCCGTGCCATGAGGCAGAAGAGGCAGACAAGCATTGCTTTGCTGGCTGGAGAGGGAGACTACAGGACCCAAATGCAGGGGACACAGATGAGCCACAGTTTCCCATTCTTAACTTCTCAAGCCTTGCTCAGGCAATTATGCATGTTTTTATTTCAAAACTTATTCACAAGAATCTCCATCATTTCTGGTAGCAAAAGAAATCCCACACGAGTGCCTCCAACATACCTTATTTGAAGTTGCTATAAGTTTTTGTTCTTCCTTGGATGAGGTGATGACAGGAACCTTGCAGAAAGGCTCATAAGTATCTTTGTTCTGCTGGAACAAAACATATTTTCAGCCTAAGAGGCCTGCCCAGCATTGGAATTTTTAAGCTGGCCTGCTGGGCAAAGACAGACTTGGGTAAGGGGAGATGGGGCAGTCATGGCTGGGAAGAGAGGACGATTCTTACCGCCAATGAATGTTTTCAGCCTAAGAGGCCTGCCCAGCATTGGAATTTTTAAGCTGGCCTGCTGGGCAAAGACAGACTGGGGTAAGGGGAGATGGGGCAGTCATGGCTGGGAAGAGAGGACGATTCTTACCGCCAATGAATTAGGATGGAGGAAGACAAGGAGTTGAATCTTCCAGTAAGTCTGCTCTTTGGCTAGGGCTATCATATGCCAGGATGCTTAGTAAATACAAACAATGATGACATATTTTCCACAGGCCAGGAAACCATTCAAAAATAAACCCACAACATGGCAGATGAAACATGATTTAATCAAAAGTTTCTAAAACCCCACTATAATGACTGCAGAGGAATAAAAACGTATAATCCCATAAGAAGAAAAAGAATGGGAGAAGTGGTCAGCAAGTTAGACATGTCAAAAATTAGAGACTGGAAAGCAGATTATAGATAAGTGATAAACCAGGAAATGGAGAAAGCTGAAATGCAAGTCAGCAGGTGGGAAAGAATCCTGGAGATTCTTCAGAGAACAGCTCTGAGGGCTGGCAGGCACAGGCAAGAGCAGAGGATTGCTCACTAGTTGGAAGCAGCACTGGTGAGACCCCTAGATCAATCCCCTTCCTCATCCTGTCAGAAGAAAGGTCCACATTCCTGGAGCAGTTTGCACAGTAGAGGACAGGGCTGAGTTGCTGTTCTGAATACAAGAGGATTAAGCAAACATCTACATACTAAATGGCAAGCACCCCCAGCCCTTTCCCCTGCTAGATCCCAGAAGACAGCCAGTCAGGCTTATACCCACCATGTAGGAGGAGGGTAGAGGATTTCTCTATGGGGAAATGATCTGCTCAAAAAAAGGCTTAGAGATTCTGACATTTGGGGTTTCCACTGAAAAAGTCACTCTTAGCACCCCACAATGAAGCCCACTGGACAACAGGACTGCCTACACACGTACAGCTTTTCAGAGTCTTACTCTTTCAACAGACAGCCAAGGATTATCAGATTGTATGTGGAAAGCCTCTCAAACGTGAGACCAAAACAAAAACGAAGACAGCAAAAGAGAAGGAGTCAGATGATAAAGGGAACAAAAACAAAACTTCAAATAGTATCATCAGACAGATGAGAGCAGAGACGGCATCCTCTGAAACAAGATCAGCATTCTATATAAAACAGAGCATTCAGAGAACAAGAAAAGCCTCTTACAATTTAGAAATATGATAGCAGAAATGAAAAATCCAATAGAAGGGTTGAAAAGATAAAATTGAAAAAAAACTCTGAGAAAGTAAAACAGAAAGATAAAAGAGAGAAACTGGAAGAAAAGAATTAGGAGGTCAGTCCCAGAAGTTTAACATCAGAATAACAGAAGCTACAGAAACAGAACCCAGAGGGCATGTCTCCAAAACAGAGATGAAACAGAGAACCTCTAATTTGTCTGAACATACCAATATAAGACTGACCCAGCTGTCTGACAATTTGGGGCTAAATTAGGGATATGTACTTAGAAAAACACACAAACAAAATGATGAGGCAATCAGTAACCCTGGAGAATTTGAAGTTACGCAGGAAAGAAAACAGTTGTTGTATACTCTGTGGTTCAACTGTTAACAATATTTTCATATCATAATGTAAATTGTGAATACTGACTTATCTAAGACTGAGATGAACTATACCGGGAGAACAGGAAAAGGAATGCGTATGTGTGAGTTTGGTGGTGGTTGGCGGTGGTGGGAGTGCACAAGCTAAATTCTAACTTTCTGTAGTAATGTCAGTATATAATGTCAAGAAGTCAATAAATAGTACATGCAAGTTACATGGCAATATGAAAGTAAATGGAAAAAATTGCTGAAAGAATTAAAAGAGGTGCCTTGGGAATAAGAGTGGGAGGGGGTACGGTAGTGTTTTTGACATCAACCTTGCAGTACTATTTGATTTCTTAAATGATATAGATGCATTACTTTAAATAAACATAAAAATGAAGTAATAATAAAGTCAATGCTGCAACATTCAGTGGGATTTACAATGAGTTCATGGACTCGGGTAGAGATGGTGTGTGCCAACAACCATCCCTGGAGGAGCTAGGCATCATGGGTTCTACTCCAGGGTAGGGCCAGCCGCAGATTTGTGGCTCGGGGGAAGCACAAACAAAAGCTTCATGTACGCAGATCGTATTCCTGTGATTACGCAAAGGGGCACTTCTGATTCTCTGCCATGCTGGACTTTGCTTGAAATAAAAGGCTGCTGGCTCGGTCTAGAAGCATTTTGGTTTTGTGAGATTTTACCATCACTAGACTTGACCCCAACAGTCCTGCACCGGCTGAGGAGTGAGAGGTGTCTGTCTGTAGAGATCATGCTGGGCTCCAATAATGACTTGTAGGGCCAGAATAAGTACCAAGATGGGTCCAGAAAACTGATCAAGTTTTACACCTTGTGGTTCACCACAAAGGGCTGTAATATACACAAGAGAGGACCCAACACCACAGGGACTGAAGTAAGTCAGAGAGTAGTTAGGTGGCCTGTGCATTACAGGGAAGCCTCTCAGGGGTCACTCTTACCAAAGGGGAGAGGCTCCAGCGTTAACTCATGAACTCTCATAACATTTCAGTGAGAGGGGAACTGCCTCCATTTTGCAGAGAGGGAAAGAAGGAAGGCAGGTAGGCCTGGCGCCTCCCCACCCATACAGGAAGAAAGGGGGATGCCTACTTGTAGGGCCGCCTGGCACTCTTCCACCAGGCCCTGGACCAGATAGTACTTGGCTTCTGCTAGCAGCTCCTCAATCTCCCGGCGGCTCTCAGGCAAGGGAACTGCCCCGTCTCGAAGGTAGTTGAGTATCGTACCAAAGTGCTTCCCACACCGGTCAATGAGGATCCAGCCTGCAGGAGGAGGAGCGGGAGGAGCAGCTAGTTACATGGGTAGTCCTCTTGTGGGAAGCGTTGACCAGAACTGTGGTGTCTCTTGGCTCCCTCTACCTCCCTGAGGAGAGCAGGCCCACAGAGTTGGGGCCCCACCTGCCTACCTATCGACAAAGGGCTGACTAGCTCTTTGCCCAGGCAGTACTGCCACAGCCTCTGGGACCTGCTGGCAGGACACAACCACTGGCCTCAGGCTCTGCTGGATGCCTCAAGTACCCTCAAATATCCCTTAGACAAGAACATCCCAAGAAGGGCCTATGTACCACAGGATAAAATGGGTCCAAATGACCACATCCCAACAATAAGGGAAAGGCTTCTGGGGTTAAAAAAAAAAAATCTCTACTTCCTCTTTCTACAAAGCTTTGCTCAGACTCTCAAGTAACAGAGCCATTTCTAAGGAAGCACAAGCCTTGCCCCCGCAGAGTGCAACCTCTGGCTCCTGAGGGTGACCCAGACACTCACAAGCCCCACCACAGGAAGTCCTGTTCATAACTTCCCACAACAAACACTTACTGACTAGTGACAGGAACCAGATGTAAAACGGTGAATGAGGCAAACCCTGCCCTTAAGCAGCTCAATCAACATGGGGAGATGGAACTTGCTTTTATTGGATATTATGCAAAAATGTCCCAAATGCTGAGAACCAGATGCAGTGAAAAATTCTTGGGGGTGGCCAGGAAGACTACCCCCTCTGCCTGTCAATGTCCTTTTTAATCTTGTCACTGGCCTGATATTCCTCCACTAGCGATTCTAAGCGTTTTCAAAACTCCTCTACCAAAATACAAATGTCCCTGGGAGTGGTAATCAGAGGAGCAGATAGTACTGCAGCCTGGGAAGAGAAGGAGGTACAGAAAACAGAGGTAGGAATGGAGCAAAGACCAACTATATCTCAATAAAAAGTGTGAAGCACCAAATTAAAAATAAATAAATAAATAAATTAATTAAATAAGCATGAAGCACTAAAAAGCCAAACCGATGAGATGGTTAAGTCCTGGCCTCCCCAAGCAGCAGGGCAACCTCAGGCAAGGGGCTTTACCAAGTCTCCTGCCCCACATTACAGGCGATAAGACCAATGCACAGGGCAGGTAAGAGGCTTAAACAGGAATCGGTCATTTTATGCCCCCACTTTCCTTCCCCATTTGGGAGGAGCCAGTGTTTCTTCTCCTGACTACACTGTGCCCTGCCCTGAGACCTTCTCAGACCCTTGGGACCTGGATCAGCAGCAGAGGCCAACTAAAGTCCAGAGACACACATGCATCTTTTCGTGCTCCAGAGTCACAAATCCACCTGCCTCCCTCTATCCCTTGTTACCCCAATCCAGCCCCTGCCAAGTGCCTTCTTGTGGTTTTAGTTCACTATGTGATATTCTTTGCCACAATCACCAGGAGAGTTTGATAACAAGGCCATTTCCATGTTCTCCTCCTGAAACTACTCAGCCTAAAGTTCCTAGGCCTTTTGTTAAAGGGCTGGTCTCCACCCTCCAGAGCCTTCCACTTCATCCTTCCACACTTTTTTTTTTTTTTTTTTTTTTTTTGTCTTTTTCCGTGTCCGGCAACGGAACGCAACCCTCAGTGTCACCCCCGTACCGGACCGGGACTGGCAACGGGATCGCAACCCTTGGTGTTGCCCCCGCGCCTCGCTCAGCCAGTGAGCGGGAACCGGTCTGTACGTGGGATCCGAACCCTCGGCGGGAGTGCCTCCGCGCTTCCCAAGCGGCACACTAGCACAGTGCGCCACCGGGCCGGCCCCTCACACTTATGATTTCCTGAGTATAGTGGAAGAATAAACCCAGTGGGGGCAAACACAATGCAAATGTGTAGCCTGGAGTCATCCCCTGGTTTTGAGGAAGGAAGAGGCCTTCACAGGCATGGTAAATCACATCACCCTGACAGTGAACTCCATGTGTTATCTCAGCTCACTTTTTTCTACATTTGAGACAACAAAATATGGACTTGGTCTCTTATGCAACTCAGATGCCTTCAGGGACCAGCAGACAGCATAAATGAGTACAGGCCGGCTGGGGCTAAGGCCAGTGGCTGAGTGAGAGCATGTGCCCCACCCCTTGGAGGGGCGGCCTCTTTCCACTCCAGCCAAGAGTGCACAGGAAGGAATGTGGGGCCAGGGCTGCATGAGCTCTAACATTCCAAACAATGCCAGAAATCAAGATTTTTCTGTGACTCTCCTGATTTTTAAAGACTGGTAAACTAATTTATTTTTGGCAGTTGGCCCATATGGGTATCTGAACCCTTGACCTTGGTGTTATAACAGCACACTCTATCCAACTGAGCTAACTGGCCAAACCTGGTAAACTAATTTTTTTAAAAAACTAAACTGTCATCAACCAACCACAGCGCAAACATTACACATCTACAGGTTGAATTGGGCCTGCAGGCCATCAGCTTGCAGCCTCTGTGTTACTCTACACCAAGTACTTTTCTTCCAGAGAGCTGACCAAGGGCCGGCCCTTGGCTCACTTGGGAGAGTGTGGTGCTGGCAATCAAGTCAAGGGTTAAGATCCCTTTACTGGTCATCTGTTTTTTGTTTGTTTTTTTAAAAAAAAAAAAAAAAAGAGCTGAGAAGGTATGGAAAGACTATATTATCTTCCCACCAGTTCTCTCTAAGGGACGTTCATTCCCTACATTCTTCACAGACAAAAACAGAGTCTCAGAGAGTTTCAGTGACATCCCCAGTGGGGAAGGCAAGACTAGACCACAAAGAAAAAGTAAGAAATTCATAGCCAAACTCCTTTAACCAGAACTGAGAAGACAAGTAGCATTCAGGCTTTAAGAGAAACAGCAACCAATTCAACTCAGCTGCTCAGGAATAAGACTTCCACATTCTGCCTTTGATGCACGGACAACTTAGCTGCTCAGAAAGAGCAAGGGCCCTTCAAATCAACTATCCAAATGACAGCCCAGAGTTTCCACAAACGAATAGGCGGACCGTGACACTGGGCTCCGGCTCAAGAATGCTGTCAGGAAATGCTTGTGGTGAAGGAATCATACTTTGGACAAATAAGGGCAAAGGAGCCAGGCACACTCTCCATGAGGTTTCAATTAGCATTTTGACTTTAAAATATTTTAGTTGCTTTCAAAGCAGAAATCTATCCTTTTGAAACAGCTCATATGCCTAGCATGTACAAAGGCAAAAGGAAGTCAAGCAGGTCCTTGCTTGTGGGGGTGTCTTTCCTGCTGCCATAGAGTACAGGAGCTATTTAGGAAGACAGTCCAAGTCAGGACAGCCCAGGGTCCGAGGACCCATTTGGCAAGGCTGGAGAGCGGACTCCAGGACATCTCTCAGCATGGCACAGTAGTTAAGAGTGAAAGCCTGTGCTGAAAACCCAGCTTTGCCACCTACTTGCTGGATGACATCGGTACTTCATTTTACCTCTATGTCCAGCAGTTTCCTCTTCTAAAAACGGTATCTCACCGGTTGGCATAAAGAACAGGTGAGAGAATGAATAAGGTACAGAAAGCACTGAGCACAATGCTGCGTCCACTAGCAACACTCACAATTAGCTGCAGGTCTTTGACAAGGAGCCCTTCCCACATCTTGCCACCATCGCTGCGGAACCAAGCAGCAGCAGCCTCCAGAGGGGGCAAATTCCAACCCCCCCCCCCCCCCCCCCCCGCCGAGAGAGTCTGTGCAGCTTTCAGGGTTCCAAGGGAGAAGGGTGCCCTGGGTGTGAGGGGTTGAACTCCTGGAGGAGGTTACCTCCTCCCAGCACTGCAAGCCTAGTGTGTGCTTCTCTCTGGGGATGTCCGACCTCTCCTTTCCTTCTTCCTCCAGAGAGCCTTCATTGACCTCTCTTCGCCATACTAAGGCATTTATATTTTTGTGGTTCCCAAACTTGCTTGATCATAAAAGTCACCCAACATACTTGTTACAAACTCAGATTCTAGAAACCTGCCTCATTCCTGAATCAGAATCTCTAGGGCAGGGTCTCTCACCCTCAGCATTATTGACATTCTTGACTGGATAATTCTTTGTTTGGGGGGGGGGGACTGTCCTGTGCCTTGAAGGGTATGTAGCAGCACCCCTGGCCTCTACCCACTAGATGCCAGCAGCATCCCAAGTTGTGACAACCAAAAATGTCTGGACATTGCCAAATGTCCTTTGGGGGGGTCAAAAAAAAATCACCCCTGCTTGAGCAGCACTGAGATAGATCAAAGACCTAAATATGAAAAACAATGTAAGAACTTTGAGGTATCAAAAGACACCATTAAAAAAGCTAAAATAAGTCAGACTGGGAGAAGGTATTTACAACATAGAACCACAAAGAAAAAGGATCTAGAACACCAACTGTTACAAAGCAGTTAAGAAAAAGGAAAACATGTAAACAAGATGCAATCAGGCAGCTAAAAGATGAAACCCAAATGACCAGTAAACAAAAAAATGCTCAACACACTAGAAATTAGGAAATGCTAAATAAAACAATAGGGTACCATATCATAACCACCAGATTGATAACAATTGTCAAACAATTGGTTTGACAGTGTCAAGTACTGGTAAAAATCCAGACTGCTGCCAGGACTGCAAAGTGACACAACCACTTGAGAGAGTACTCTGGCAATATCTAATGAAGCTGAAGATGCTATCCCTAATTCCCCCCATGGGAACAAACTAGTGCAGAGCTCCCAACGGTGGATAAGATCTTAATGCTACAGCCCTTGAGGTGTCTGGGTGGGGCCTGGGAGTCCAGAGCCTCCTTATTTACCAAAGTAGAAATTAGATTGTCTGTGCACCATGATGTCGCAAAGGATGGGAAGCTATGCCCTAGAGAAATTCACATGCATGGGGAGAGTGTTCAAGAATGCTAACATTCCTAATAGTGAACACTGGAAAAAATCTACACAGCCATCAAGAGAATACGGCACCATCAACTGCTGTGTATTTCTAGAATGGAACATTCCACAAAAGGGAAATGTTTGGACTACAGCTATTTATCCATGGATCAATCTCACAAGTGTAATGCTAAATAAGCAGAAGCAGGAAGGATACAAACAATACATCCCCATTTGTATAATGTTTAAAAACACACCAACAGTACATTGTTTAGAGACATAAACGGTTGTGGGAAAATACTTGGAAAGATCGACACCCGTGGTTCTGAATCCTGGCTGACACTAAAATCACCTGGAGAGCTCTTCAAAGTCCTAATGCCCCAGCCACACCCTAAAGACATCTGGCTCTCTGGGCTGGGACCCAGGCAACAGCATTCAACTCCTTGGGTAACTCAGCCAAGACTGAGATCCACCTAGTGATCCCAAAGTCACGCTATTGGTTACCTCTAGAAGTAAGAGAGGCAAACAGAGATGGTACAGAGAGGCCGAACCATCATGTTTTATGCCTGGTCTCAGTGGTGGCACAAGGAAATCTTATATTATTCACAATTTAAAAGCTCTCAAAGTATTTCAGAATTTCACAAAAAAAGCATTATTATTTAAGGCAAAAGGGCTGGAGATCTCAGGGAAACCCCCAAGTACTACAGTTTTCCCACAGATTTCACTGACTTCTTCGTTTTCTAGAAGTGTGCTGCTAATAAGATGAATGACTCTCTTCTTTAATCTAGTTTATATACTCCCTAATTCCAAAAACATTTGCAAAAAATCAGAAACCAAATAAGGAGAGAAGTACTGCTCTAAGCAACAGGGATGAAAACAGACGAGTGCTAAATAAAATTCCTCTTACGAAACATGCTACATGAATCCACAGACCAATGGCAATGTTGCCAAGGGCTGATAAAAAGTCTAGCATTAGAAGGACAGAGGGGGAACCTGGGAAAGGCCAGCTCACTGCCATAGTGTCCTTGTCTTCTTGGAAAAGCCACTCCTATAGGGGTTAACATGGAACTGCAGCACGCTCATCTCTGAAGGCCACGGTGAGCAACCTCTCCCCAACATGCTACTCAGAGCTGCTGCTCTGCAGCCTCTCAGCAGTGCTCTTCCCTTCCACCTCTATGCCCCCAGCCCAGACAGCACTGAAGCAATAATTAACAGTTCCCATTTATTGAGTTTTCCCAACCTATCAGGCACTGAATCAAATGCTTTCCAATGTACTCTTTTAATCCTCATAACAACTCTGCAAAGCATTATCATTCGCAATTGAGAAACGAGGAAAGAGGCTCAGGAAAAAAGTCACTAGCTCAATGTCATGCTACCAGTAAACAGCAAAAGAGCCAAAATTCGCCTAATGCCTGACATGTAGAAACAGCTCCATAGATGTCAGCTGTGACTGTTACCATGTGGCAGAGCCAGGACTCAAACCCAGGTCAATCTCCAACATCCATGTTCTTCTCTGTTTAGTAATTACACACACAGTACGAAACTCAAACAGGCAAAGGGCACGGGATGAAAAGGAGGCTCTTCCACCCCCCTTGGACCTCAGGTCCACTATCTGGAAGCAACTACTGTCTCAGACATCCTTTAGAGGTTTCTAGCAACACAATGTACACACTGTTCTGGACCTTCAAAGCCTGTTCTCTAACCAGCAAGCTCTATTGCTGGATTCACTTGCCTGGCTGATCTTCACTTGGCGTTTATGCCTGTGTGTAACAAATTTCATTGCAGCTGACAGGCTTCTGGCCCAAAGGCCAGGGTGAAGCTGTGAGATGCTGGAAATCTATCCCATTTGGTAGACCCAAGGGCGTACGTGAGGCAACATGTAGGTCATGGGTCAGGCTGTGCAGTGTTCTCCCCAAAGGCCAACAGGATTGCTCTGCCTGGCACAGCTGATGGCTGGAAGACCAGATACCCAGCCTGACAGCCCAGGCTTCCACAGGGCCCCCCCAAGAGGCACAAAAGCTGGCAGTTGAACCATAAGGCTGCTACACTCAAGCAGTGTGGCCTGGGAGCTGGGCCCACATCAAATCACAGACAGCAGATGGTAAGAGCCAGTGAGTCTTGGGTTCAATGGCTTCACCTTCTCCAGCCCTGTAGCTTTTGAAAAAGCATTTTACCTTTTTTGAGATGTGGATTCCTTATCTGGAATGGTAACAGCAGCATCCAACCCTCAAAGGGTTATGGTGAGGATTAAATGAAATAACACCCATAAAATGTCATATTTTGTGAGCTTTTCATAATGATATGAAGGGGGCTGCAGCTCTAGGGAAGTGAAATGAGCCGAGGTTTGGAGTGTCAAAGACGATAGTGCTTCTCTGGAGAAGCTTGGTTATCCAGGCAGCACTAGGCCAAGGACATTTCTTAGCAAGCATTTAGAATGTGAGCAGTCCCACTGGTACCATTCATATACTGCGTCCAGTTGAGGGATAGGGAGGCTTGAGGACTCTGTCTCTTTTGCTATATGGAATTAGGCCACCAAGGCAAGGGCTTTCTAGGACAAGAGGCTTCCACTTAGCTTTCAAAGTGGCTCTGCTACTTTTCCTGAGCCCCTCCAGAGACTGTGTAGGGCAGAAGAAAAACCACAACAATCCTGGGTTCTCGGATAATGTCTTGTTTCCTTCTGCAGCTGGGGTGCTATTGTCTTGATTTCTACAAATATTCCCAGGCAATGTGGGGTGTGGCACAGCAGAGGAGATCCTCCCACTCATAAAAAGCTAAGTGTTTTCTGGGTAAAACGCAGATGGCAACTCCGGGGCTCCAACCTCTTTTAACTGCTGCTGGGCCAGAAACCCGAGTTCACGGAAAGTCCAGGGAAGCAGAACCTCCAGCCCCACAGTCTGGCCTTCTCCAGGACACATTGTGAAACACCCTAACTAGTGGGCAGCCTGAGATTCAGCTCTCGTAGGATCAGAGAATGAACTGTGGCACACCAGGCTTAAGGCCTCCAACCCCACCTGCCTGTGTCAAAACTCACCTGCCCTCCCAAGTCAATGTCCCTGGGCAGGTGAGGGCATCAGCACAGAAGATCAGTCTCAGAAATAGAGGTAGGGTCAAACCAGGCTGTGGTCTGTCCTAATGTTAAGCAATCTCAGACCAAGGAATGTATGGAGATTTTTTTTTTTTTTTGACCGGTAAGGGGATCGCAACCCTCGGCACGGTGTGGTCAACACCACGCTCAGCCAGTGAGCGCACTGGCCATCCCTATATAGGATCCGAACCTGCGGCCTCGGCGCTCCCAGTGCCGCACTCTCCTGAGTGAGCGACGGGGCCAGCCCAGAATGGAGATATTTTTAAACCTCGTGTAACCTGCCCATAAACCCAACCAGGTAAAGATGTACCTCCTTGCCAGGTGCTCTTTGATTGTTCCATGTGGGTAGGAAGTAGTTATGGCAAGACCACTTTATACATGAATATAACACTATATGCCAACAGCCCCATGAGGTAGGTATCATGACTCGTGTAACCTGCCCATAAACCCAACCAGGTAAAGATGTACCTCCTTGCCAGGTGCTCTTTGATTGTTCAATGAGGGTAGGAAGTAGTTATGGTAAGACCACTTTATACATGAATATAACACTATATGCCAACAGCCCCATGAGGTAGGTATCATGGTACCCATTTTACGAGATGAGGTAAAATTGTCATCAAAAGGTTAAGCCACTTGGTTGGATCATCAGATACTAAATGGGGAGCTGGGACTCAAATCCAGATCTGTGAGTCTTTGTCAGGACCCTATCCTAGAAGGCCGAGGGTCCAGAGAAAGCATTTATGACTCTCCCAGGCTGAGTTTCACTCTGAAGTCACAGAATCATCTCAGAGAGGACTGGAAGGGAACCTTTTAGGGCAGCTTGTCCAGCCTCCGTTTTACAGATAAGCAAGCTGAAGCCCAGAATAGAGAAGTAACTTTCTCAAAGCCACAGAGCTATTCAAAAACTAAGTCAAGACTGTAGGAGTCCCTATCCAGCTGATTCCTACTCATCTTCGGGTCTCTGCTTAAATATCATTCCCTCAGGGAAGCACTCCTGACCACAACACCCAGACCAGATCTAGTCTTCCTGTTAATCACTCTCAAGACTCCCCACACACACCATGGTTAACACTGGGCACAACCAGAAGTCCATACCTGTGTGTACAACTGCCCATTAATGTTAGTCTTCTGAACTGGACTGAAGTCCTCATCCACAAGCATGTCCCCAGAGCCCGGCACAGTACTGAATGTACAACCAGAGGTAGGCTTCTGGCAGAGCGGGCTTACCTTCACTGTCAGTGAGCACTTCCATGCGCCCGCTGAACATGGCTTTCAGCATGGTGTCCTGCTTGGTCAGCGTCTGCATGGTGGTGTAGTAGAGGGCTCCGCCCACATTCAGCTTGACATACTTGGAGCTAGGGCTTGTGCCCTTGAAGGAAGTGGTGCGGGTAGCTGCTGCTGGCACCGCTGAGCTCACCACACTTTCTCCTGACATCTCTTCCTGGCAGTGGAGAAGACACAGGGTCACCACACCAGGCCTGGTTTACCTCTTTCAGCCTGTGCACTGAATCTGGCCTCCAGATGTGTTGTTTGGTCCACGTAGATACTGCATTTGAAACTTAAAGTGTGCTTCCAATGTTGACAATTCAGAAAAGTTCACAGAAAAATCTGGATTTCTGGCTTCTCTTAAAATCAGAGGCCAACTGGGCCAGCAGGGCAACAACTGGTGGGAGCTGGGGTACCTGAAGAGGGGAATGCACCTCCCAGTTTGCCCCAAACCCTGCCCAGTAGCCTTGATATCCTTAAACACTGACCTCACCTGCTGAGCCCGAAGGCACAAGTTTGCCACTAACTCTTGTGCTACAAGGATTTTCTTTCTGCTCAATACCCATATAAATGAACACCCTGGCTGCATCTACAGCACCCGAAGCACTGCCCAGGCCTCTTGACATTTCCTTCCCGCCATGCACCACTGAACTGCTCAAAGTGCCATCTTTCAGCTGAATTACAGATGAAATAAGCTTTTATGAAGCCGAGTGGGATTCCAACCCAGAATCCCCTTCCTCATACTTCCTATCAGGAGAAAATATTTCTTGGGACTAACAACAGACACAGAACTCTTAGAAGCAAGTTCTTGCAAAATTAGAGACCCCCTACATCAGTGCAGCCCCAAATAGTAAGATCCTATGATGGTCTCCCTGATAGTACTGCCAGCTCTTATTCACATCTCAGTCAAAGAAATGAATGTAATGTCTGACTTAAGCAGGCCTAGGAAAGGAGACTTGTACCTGGCACATGTGTATTCAAAGAAAACATTTCTTGAATAGGTAAAATTCTAGTGCTGGGGAAGATGTCCAAGAGTGGGCTGAATCTTTAAGGAATCTGGGGTTTGGCACCAAGCGAAAAAAGCCTGACAGCCAGGAACTGGCCTGGACCTCACAGCTAGGCCTTAGCATTCCCATTAAACACGAACAATTTCACAGCACATCACCATCGGACAAGGACACTCCATTACCGTGTTGCAACAAGACAAAAACAAGACCACTCTGTAATCATCTCTGAACAAAGACAAAAACACAAACATTATTCAAAACACAAAAATGACCAAATATCCTCCTATCCTGGCTAATAGGAGTCACTGCTGGTTCTTAACCAACTAGAGCTTTAGCCTCCCACCTTCAGGACAGGAATCACTGAGACCCAGTCACAGAGTGAGCTCTGCTTCCTGGCAGCATCCAACAGAGAGTAAAGCCCCACTTCTCTGAACCCTTCCCCAAATCACCCAACACAAACCCAATTCCTCTCTCTGAGATGCCCCACAGGTCTCCTCCAATACAACAAGGAAATAAACCCAACTTTGACTACAGGTCAGCTCCTTGCGGTTCTTGGCTAGAGGGTACTGAAAGCACATAACTTTTCTGAACTATTCCCTGATACTGAAAAAGGATTGTTATTAAATTCTTTATGCCTTTCTGTCTTTTCCAGATGTAGTATGGTGATAACTGGTAAACACAAATGTTATTTGTTAAATGGGACAGGGACTAAAGGGTGCCCTACCATCAACCAGTACTAGAAGAGGCAATGACTTAGCAACAGTGCAGGCAATATTCAATTCAAGGTTATCCAAGTCTTCTGGCCAACCCTCCCCACCTCTAGCTCCCCAAAACAGTGGCCTGGAAGTCACCTGCTGGGGAACTTGTATCAGGGCCCTGCAGAGAGAAACAAAAAAAGTGTTTTCTCAAGAAACTGTTCCTGCTTCATCGAGTGAAAACATCACAAGAAGGAAAGTTTTCAAAAGCCCAGGCTTAGCTCACCTGGGGTTGCTGTGACCTGATGCCAAACATAAAAGACAAGAGGCTGAGAGGAAGCAGTTACCCCTCCCTTCTGACTTTCCTTTGAAATCAGTCCCCCTAACAGTTATTGTGCCAACAATTTCCCCCAAAAAACTCTTTGTCTGTGGGATGATAGTAGTTGCTTACAGGAATAAAGAGTTTCCAAAAGCTTTGAAGACCTGGACAGAAAAAGAAAAGGCTCATAGTTTGGGTTCTTTTGGGGGAGGTAGGGCAGAATTTAACCAAAAATGGAAATACTTTTTAAGCACCCTTTTCAGATTTAGATTTTTACAACAGTACATGTTTATGGGAAATGCTCTAGCATTTTGTAAGGCGCCTACCATGAAACAGAAAAAAAGTATACGACGTATACTTAATTTACTTTTTTTTGACTTTCCAATACCTTTTTTAAGCAACTTAAGCGTACAGTTTAATGAGTTTTGGTTAACATATGTGTCTACGCAGCCCCTCCTCTAATCAAGGTAGAGAACCTTTCCATGGCTCCAGAAAGCTCCTCCATGCCCCTTTACCACTTAATTACTATCACCACATATGGCTTTTTAAGATCCAAACAATGCTGGAAGACAGCTATCATTATTCCCATTTGTGGATTCGGATACTTCAGCCCAGAGAGGGACAGTCACTTCTCAAAGCCAGGAGGTGACTCAGTGATGGAGCAAGTGAACGTGGTCAAGCCCTGGCCACCATCATGCCTGTGCGTGGTATATTTAGAGCTACGACATATAAGTTGAGAAAGGAGAGCCCCACCTCCCTTCCTTAAAAAGTACAATAAGGTCTGGCCTGTGGCTCACTTGGGAGAGCGTGGTGCTGACAACACCAAGTCAAGGGTAAAGATCCCCTTACTGGTCATCTTTTTTTTTAAAAAAAAAAAAAGCCCTAAAAAAAGATGGGAAGCAATGTGTGGTTAAGGGCTTGGGTTTGGGACTGAGACCTTGTTTAAGCCCGCAGATCTGCCACTTAGAAGCTATTTGAGCGTGGGTGAGATATCTAAGTCTAGTCCCATCTACCAAAGGAGGACACCAGCCTCCCCTGCCTCACAGGGCTGCTGGGAGGGAGGCCACAGAAAGCACCCAGCATAGCCCCTGCTCAAAGTAAACACTCACACAGGAAACATTCAAGTTATGATTATTTGAGAATGCTCTCAAAGCCTCAAATTATCTTCTCCTCTTTGGAAACTGTTTCTAGCTCTAATGACAGTGAATTACTAAAAGATAAAAGCAGAAACAATCCTAATATAGCTTGAGACTCCAGATTAGGCTACAAAAGCTCCAAACCTTTCTGGAGCCCACCCCCTCCAAAGGTCAGTCAACCTGATACTAGGAGAGGCCCTTAAAGAAAAGGTTCTGGCTGTGTTCATGTCCCTGAGCCCAAGTTACAGTGAATCAAGGACACAAAGCAGAAGACAACAAATCTCTCAAAGCAAATCTCTCTGCGGAAGACTCTCACAGCTGTCCTTACCGGGATTCTGATTTTTTACTTCTTTCAAAGGTTTGATTTCGTTATTAATGAGGCTATGGACGTGGGACAGGAAAGAGCAAAATGGTTACAAGAAACAGAGAGGTGATTAATATCTGAGATATTGGTTACAGATTCTATCCAATCAGAAGTTTATTCCAGTTAGACAGGTAAGTCCAGGCTTCTCTCCTTCCCATCTCCCCTGAATATACTGGTGCTGATCCTAAATAGTGGCTTGCCACATGGTCGCACATTGGAATCACCTCGGGAGCTTAAGCAACTGCTGATCCTGGGTCCTACCCGTGGAAATTCTGTTGTAATTGGTCTGATGGGTGTGGCCAAAGCAACAGACTTTTTAAAACTCCCCCAGGTAATTCTAATGCACAGCCAAGATTGCAACCTACTGTTCTAAAAAAATTCTGTACCCCTTAATTTGGCTACAATTAACTCCATGGTCTCGGAGAAGCTTCTCGACCTCTTGCTCTATTGGCCCAGTAAAATCCTGATGCATACATAAAACTAAACCAAAACACCATAAACTAAAGCAAGCCCTACTTCACAGTTTAAGAGCCACAGGCAGGAAGTAATTGTATGTATGCTTGAAAAAATAAAAATAGGCTGAAGGGGGAATATGGTTGACTTGAAAGAAGACCCAGACAAGTACAATAAGAAAAAAGTCACCAAATCCCTGACCCTAAGACGTTTTCTATACACTTCTCTGTAGAACTGTCCTGTGCGTGCATTTATGCGTGTGTATGTGTGGAAGGAAAACTGAATCAAGAGTCTGGCAAACCTGGACTGTAATCCCAGTTCCACCACTTCCTGTGTGATGTTCAGACAACCCAAGTTTCAGTTCCCTACCTTGTAAAATAGAGTGTTAAAGCCATAATCTTCGGGGCCGGCCAGGTGGCGCACTGGATAGTGCGCCGCTTGGGAAGCGCGGCGGCGCTCCCGCCCGAGGGTTCGGATCCCACATACAGACCGGTTCCCGCTCACTGGCTGAGCGAGGCGCGGGAGCAACACCGAGGGTTGCGATCCCGTTGCCGGTCCCCAGTCCGGTACGGGGGCAACACTGAGGGTTGCAATCCGTTGCCGGACACGGAAAAAGACAAAAAGACAAAAAAAAAAAAAAGCCATAATCTTCAAAATAACCCTCAGAGAATGAATGTTAAAGGACTTGGCAGGGGCCGAGCCCGTGGCGCACTCGGGAGACTGCGGCGCTTGGGAGCACAGCAGCGCTCCCGAGTGTTTTCTCAAGAAACTGTT